ATATGTATCTAAAAATTAAATTTTAAGTAGTCGTTTTTATTTTTGGGTTTGTATAATTACAAAACTACTTGAAAACCAAAGTTATAAATCTGATGTTGTTAGTTAAAATGAGTGTATGAAATTTTTAATTAATATATTGTTTTTAAACTTTGAAGCTTGACTTCACAATTAAATTTTTTTGTCCGACTGCGAACATTAAATCATTCATATCTTTTTAACCAGATATACAATTAATTTCAAATTTTCAGGGTTGTTTCTTTATAGGTTGAACTGCAATACCTAACTAGAACTAACCTTAAACTTGTTTCTCTTTGAATATATTTATATTTTACCAATGGTTTTTGCATCAAAAATATCCTTTAAAATAAAAAAGAGCAGCCATTTTTAAAATTATTATTTTAAGTTTTTCTAGTAAGGTTTTGTTTATTACACTATAATCCATCAGTGCGGTAAGTTTTAGCTTGTAATGTTATAAAAAAGCTGAGAAAATAAAGTTTTCTTTTTATTGATTTTTCTGCATTTAATGCTGAATCAGCATAAAAAAGAGTAAATAAGTTTTTATTTCAGCATTTTAAATTAAATTAAGCATTATTTACCTTGCTACTACTTTTGGTATGTAGAAAAAGTTAAAAATCAAAAAAATATTTTTTTAACGATATAACCACCTTATGTCGATATTAACTAAAGTTCCCTAAAAAATAAGAGAGAATATGCCTTCACTCTACAATTACAATAAAAGAAAAAAGTTAAAATAACTACTTGTAAAATTTAAAATTATTCATTTAAAGTTAATTAAACAGCAGCCTATTTATTTATTTTTTTTTAATTTATAAATTACGATTATTTTGCGAGGAAAGAAAATAGTACTAACGGTTTAAAATTTTAAAATGCAGAACTTTTAATTGGTCTTTAATATATTTAAAAAAATAATTAATTGGTCTGATATCAGTCTAATTAAAATTAACGTATAGTACTTTTGAAATAGTGACAAATAGACGACGCTAAAGATCATGGACGAAACTGACTGCTTTATAAATTTCGGTCGGGCCAATAAACTACCGAAGCCACATAGTGATCGGATAGGTCAAGGTTCGATGTCTGACATAAAGACCAATAAAGCGTTGGTTTAAACGGTTTTTTATTATTGACTTAATGTTGCAAGACGAACGAAATCCAGCTAACAAATAGAATTAGGTTTTAAGTGTGTAAAGTAGCTAATAAAAAGGGATTCAAAAATCACTTATATACAAGACACTATACATCTATTGGCAGATGTATAGATAACTGTTTGCGAAAAATACAATGTTTTGCCCATAATGTGATGCCTACATATAATAGAATGATAAAAATCTAAAAACTAGTTAAATTGAAATTTTCTAATACTTTCCTAGAATTGGTTAAAATTTGTTGAACTTAAAAATATTTGCCGTTTTTTCTACAGGAGAGACTGGGTTTAGACCCAAAACTCATGGTACCTCGTTACTACCATCTAGACCATTAAAATTTGAAAATCGCACCATAAATCCCGATTTTAGAAAATTTATAAAAGTGAAACTTTCTTTCAACAATGTCACAGGTCATTTATAAAATTTAGATATATTAAGGTAAAAAAAAAAAAGAGTATTATAAAACTCAAGAATTTAGTGTATTCTTTCTGGAATCAGGATACAGTTTGTTATTTTTCTCAACGCCCTGGAGGATCTCGGATCTCACTTAGTCATACCTTGTCAGAAAGTTACAACAGTCCTATGCCATTTGTGACTTTGACGTTTTAACAAAACCCAAAAACTTTTATCACAGTCGCAAAGTTTAAAATTAACTTAAAACCATTTATTATATTCATTTGTATATGAGCTCATCACCATAGTCCGTGTCAAGGATGGAGATGAGCTTAAATGAGTAAGAAAAATTAGGTTTAGCAAATCAGTTCTCTTGAAACAACCGACAATGTACGCTTCATAAGTTTCTAGAATTCATGTATATCAGTTTGTAAGACAAAAGATTGATGACCATTCTAATATGGTAAAATGATAAATTTACTTAACTCAGATTTTGTTACTTGTTTTTGAATTTTGTTACTTGTTTTTTTATATATTTGTATCTTTTTCCAAATAAGGAAACACCTATATTGCAAATTGCAAATGCATGCGTTTATAAAAGCAATACAGCAATTTTGTTAGTCCGCAGATTATACCAAGTAGTTTACAATACAAATTTGATTTGTGGTTCTCATCTTAAATTATTTAAAATTAATACGCCAAGATCTTTTCCTAATTTAGTAGTAAAGATAAACAACTCTTGTTTTATATTATTGTTTGTCATGTTGCTAGTCATGATATTTTACTGATATACATATATTACTAATATGCTTGATTTTACACTGTATTTTAGATAAGTTTAAGAAAGAAAACTTAAATTCATACCCAGTGGGCATTTGGACGTCCAGATTGGACCTAGGACGTCCATTTTGGACGTCTAATGGACGTCCAAATGAAACACCTTTTGTCCGTCCATAACGGACGTCCAATGACGTCTTTTTTAGACATTTGGACGAATCAAGACGCCGAGCGGACGTCTATATTTGTCCAAAATTGACATCCATGGTCGTCGTATTTAGGCATGGCACGGAAAACTAGCAATAATTTCTTTTTTCAAGTTAAAAATTTATTTAATTATTTAAATGTTAAAATACATGCTATAATTAAAAAAAACTGAAGAATTTTTATATTATTTTACAATTTCGGCATTGCACGTTTTAACAAGTCGCCAACAAGTGCCTCAATATTGCCCACGTCAAAACCATCTTTTTCTGAGATGAGCGCTTCTAAAACAAGCAAAATTTAGAACTATTTTTCATTTATATTTAAATGTTATTATGACTTTTTCGTTCTTCATAACAAACTTAATAAAAACCTCAAGTTAATTACAATGTAATTAGGTATGTCAATTAACTTACTTTTTAAACATTTGTATAAAGTTGTGGCCACAAATTTTCGTTTTCCTTTTATTCCATCTTTACTGAAGTAGCTTTGTAAAGATTGTGTCATTATGCTGTCTAACACATTTTTAACAAGTCGACGTGGCGTTGAACCACCAACGCCCTTTATTTGTGTAATCTAGAGACAATAAAAACGTTAAAAAAAAATCCGATGCAAACTCATCTCAATCTTGTGTCTATTTAAGGAAAAATAACATTGTAAATAAAATTGTAAACTCCAAATTAAAAATAAAATAAAATAAATAAAAAATTAGCATTTTTAGTTTTGAGTTGTGTTTTAAAAAGTAACATTTAAAACTGTTGATTAAATTTACTTTTCTATAAGGTGAAAAAAAATATGACAAACTACCTTTCGAAACCTAGCTGCTTTACTGGAGTTTAATACATTTTCTTCCTCATCAAACCTTTCCATTGTATCTATTGGTTCTGTTAAAATATCGGCAGTTGCAAACCCACTGGGTCCCGCATCATTATTTTCAAGTAGCTCAAGACGATCAAGGATTTTCTTTTGATTCTCCTTAATTTGATTAAATTGACTTGTTAGTTCCATGAAAATTGCATATTGAAATTCTGAAGTTAAATTAAATATTTTACTTGTGATTTTTAAATATTGACAAAATATTTATTATTAATTGCAACTTTTAAATTAGATTTAATTGCATTTAATTATATAACAATAAATTCTCAATTGTGAAACTAAAATGAATTAAAAATGTAATTATCAATACAATACAAAAAAAATAAAATAAAACAGTTTTCATAAATGAAAAACAACATTGATAAATATATTCAAGTAAATACAAAAGTACTCGCGCTTGTTTGACATTTCCTTAAAAGAAACTCCACCATCGCCTATATTTGAATGTTTCCTTTTTAAATTACCTGTTTGAAAATCAAGTTGAAAATATAGTTAAATGACTTTTTTTTTTTGAAAATATAGTTTTTTAAAAAATATATAATTTTTTTGAAATATATTTAAATATAACTTTTTCACCTGTATTTGAACATTTATTGCTCAGCTTATGAGTAAATCCACTGCTCATTGGTTCATTAGAACTAAAAATTAAGTCTAGCTCTGGGCTAGGTGCTCGAACTTCTTTTGATTTCCTGAAAGGTTTTCCAACATTTTTGTTAACAAAATCAGGTGGAAAATCTGGCAACAGACTTGGAGCTTGTGCTGCTTTCAGTTTTTCTAATGCAAAAAAATAAAAAAGTTGAAATAAATACCAATCAAACAAATAGTTTTACTGGAATATCTTTACATAAAACTTTGTCACCTGTATTAGAATATCTATCACTCAGCTTTTGAGAAAATCCACTGTTCATAGGTTCATTATAATTAAAAATGAAGTCTAGCTCTGGAGTGGGTGCTCGAACTTCTTTTGATTTTCCTTACGGTTAATACAAAAAAATTATTTATACACTCATAATAATTTTTTTATCAAGAGAAATTACATAAATAATAAAAAATATAAACCGTGATTTTCTGATTCATCTTCTGTTTGAAATTGAAGCATCTGGTTGCATGTCTCCAATGTTCCAGCTTCCAAAATAAATTCAATAAACTCATACTCTTTCCAGCCTGGTTCTGGAACAGCCCACTCAAAAATATAAGTACCAAGAGTTTTGTATCCTTTGGGTGGGAAATAAACAATACATTAATCTAAACTAACCCAATGAGAAGGAACCACTGTTTTGGTTAGTAGACCTTTTTCAGTTATAACAACAGTACTAAAAAGCCTGAGAATAAAAAAAAGACTTAATGAACAATTCAAAAATACGTACCACATTAGTCTTAAACATCTTTTTACTTTTTTTAAAACTATAAACATAAACCATTCAACTTTGTTTACATATAATTGTATATTTAAATTCAGATTTTCTAAATTTTTTAAACAGACTAATAATAAAACCAAAGTCAGTATATTTAAATAAATCTATTCTTTAAATCTTTAATCTATTTAAATAAATTTATTAATAAAAAAGTTTCAGAAATAGGAAATTTTAATATAAATAAAGGTTTAATATAAATAAAGTTAAGTTTTTTTTTTTATCCCAATTTTACACAATTTAGTAATGGTATGATAACTTGATCATTTCCATGTGCTAAACAAACACATTTTCTCCATCTTATATTTGCACAAGTTATTTGATCTGACCAAAGTGTATCTTCTCTTATCAGAAATATTTGAAGAGTCTTAGAAGAAACAAAATCTTTAAAAAAATGATTTAGTTCACTCTTTTTGTACATCTTGCATACTAATCTACCATCAGGCAAAATGTTATTCACAAAGCAAATACAATCTTCAGTATTAAACCAAGAGTTAGTAGGTCCATTAAACTTGGTAATAGTAATTGTTTTCTCAGAGTAAGTATCTTTTAATTCATGAAGCCTTTTAACTATTTCTATTAACGGATTCTGTTTACCACGTACCAATCCTTTTAAGGTTTTCAAATAATTTTCAAATTGAAAACATGAAAAAACATCAAGAGAAGATTGAAAAAATTCAACATCATCAGTAAGATGCTTGAGGTTATGTATATTGTATACAGTGAAAGTATCACCATAATGCTCATGCGCATTAGTAACAAAATAATTTAAAAGTTGCCTTGCTGAATTTAGATAACTGCATCGTAAGATAGTTTCCTCTTCACATAGCATGCGTATTGCAAGGGCTAAACTCAAAAAATGTTTGTATCTTTTTGGTTCCAGAACATCCTTTAGTACAACAATGCCTGTGTATAGAAGAAAAGTTCTAAATTCAGTAGCCTTCCACCGATTAACTTCAGTTAGTTCACTTGGTTGTCTCGCAAACTCTGAAGGTAATTTTCCTTTTAGTTCACTTAAACGATGAGATATCTTTATCAGATCTGCAGAAGCCAATCTTCCTGAAAATATCTGTGGATATCCTCCTTTTAAATACAATAAAATATGACGCATTACTCCTAAACAAACTAGATGCATATAGTCTAATGGAAACTGTTGAACAAGATCTAGTTGTTGAATTTCATACAACGGAGTTACTATATGCTGATGAGATCTGTTTTCATTACCCAGTTGAGCATACTGACCTGAACGTAACCCATAATCAGTTCTTTTTAAAATCAAATTACTATTATTTGTACCATAAACTATACGACCTTTAACAGACACACCAGCCTCATCACATCTCTCACAGGGATGGTAACCACTATGTTGTACAATACCCTTCAGCAGACTGCGAGCAGGCGAATCACATGGAATTGCAAAGATTTAGACATATTAGGATTTACCACATAAAGTAACTGTTTTATTATGCAGCTCTTTCAGCTCATGTGCAAAATTGGTCAAAAACTCAATAGGATTCGGTTTTTTCTAACCACCGTATAAGGCAACAGTAAAAGGTTGAAAAACAGAAAATTGAGATGTAATAGGCCATAATTGGTATCCTGATGATTTAAAAATAGGGAGACCATCTACATTAAAGAGTAGCTTAATTTCATCAATGTTCCTAAAACTGTCCTTGAATCTTTTGGAAGTTGGTGCCCATGGTTCCTTAAAATTGTTAATAAGTCATTAACACATTCTCGTGTAGTTTGATGTTTTAATACCCAAATACGAATGTCTTTTAATAATGATTGACTATTATCCGTTAACTCACAAATTTCATTATATGAAGGATAACTAAAACTTTCAAAACTTTGCGAAACACTATTTATTTTGGGCTGATAATCACAATCTGATTCAATCTCACTTTCTGATTGCAACAAACAACCACAATTAAAAGTTTTTATTGCAAAGTTTTCACTAAAATTTGAATCATTTGTTGGGGAATCAATACATTGTGAAATTGCAAACACATGACTACGGTTATTACGTCAGTTAGTTATACGTTTCCTAAAAAAACACTTTGCAAATAATAAAATTGTGTAAAATATACACATAATAAAACTGGTTTAAACAGAGATAAGGTAGTAAATTTATTTTACTTAAATTGTAACCAATTTTATTATTATTAAAAAAATTTTCATATATGTAATATTAATTTTTAATTTAATTTTATTATTATACAGTTGAAATGAAAACTTAAGAAAGATGAAGTTGAAATTAGTTAAAATTTAAAACACATTTTGAATTAAATATACATCATTTAAATTAGATATATCTTTTGAATTTTACCTCTAAGACTCCTAGAGTTAATATTACCAGAAAATACTAATATAACTTTTAATAAGCACTCCAACGTTTTAAAAGAGGAAAAAAATATCGAAGCTGTCTTTAAAACATGTAGTTAATCTAAAGATATTTTAGTCTACTAGATCAAAATATTTATAGGAAAACTTTATCTTATAGTTTTAGTATAGATATTTTAATCTAATCGATTAATATATCTGTAGATGTTTCAATCTAGAGATACTACTAGAAATATACTATTTATTATACTAATATAGGGCTATAACTATAGACTATAAAACAAAGCTGAAATAAATGTCAGTTAAAAAACTTTACATACTTACAAAATGAATACTTATATAGTTTTTCAACTAACATTTATAATAAATAATGCTAAGTTCAGCTTTGTTTTACTCAAAATTTACTTGTACCTTTGACATTTTTCACTTGAATCTCCGTGAAATTTTTTCGTATACGTTTTGCGTTCCATTAATTTTCATTAATTTAATTTTGCAGGAAGACAGAATGATCATCGTCAAGCGACGTGTAATGTAGGAAGACAGAGTAAGTAACTGTAACAAGCAATGTTGCAACTAGCACGCTGTTATATAACAATTATACTCAAAAACACAATTACAATGGCACTTAAAATATTAACTGCCATTGTAATTGTGTTTTTGAGTATAATTGTTATATAACAGCGAATAGTTCGCGCAAGCATGTTAATATTTTGGACGTCAGTAGACGTCCAAATTAAAAATTAAGACAAAGTTCGACTAATTTCAGGGTTGGTACCCAAAAACCCAAACCCAAAAACCCACCCAAAAACCCACCCAAAAACCCAAGACCAAAAACCCACCAAAAACCCAACTTTATGGGTTTTTGGTCTTAAATTTTTAATTTTTAATTTTTTTGTTCATAAAACCATACCAAACCAGCTTAAACCATCTTGCTCATTATCATCAGACAGGCTAGACTTATTTGATGCTGCAGATGTAGATGGCCTTGACTCTAAAACTGATATATCACTTAACACTTCAGCGGAATTATTATTGCTTCGTTTATTCTTTCTTCTGCATTTATCCAAATGGATCTCTTGAAACTCTTTCTATTTTTTTAATTATGCTCACTTTGCAATAATTACATATTACTCTATTTGGTTGATCACTTAATATGGTCACTTCATTCCACTCACTAGCCTTATTTCTTCCCCCTGAATGATACTTTGGCATGTTGAAGACGTATAATCTACTTATATTTTAAATTTAACTAAAAAGATAACTCTAATTAAAAATAGATTTATATTATAAAAAAATGCAATCTGATTATAAATAAAGCTTTTGTATAAGAAAATATACCTGTAAAAAATGAAAAATAGCTTATTATATTATAAACTATAAATTAATCAAACTTTGATTACTAAAGATTTATACCAAACTTTAGCAAAAACCCATCAAAAACCCACCCAAAAACCCACCCAAAAACCCAGCTGGGTTGGGTTTTTGGTCAAAAACCCGGGTTTTTGCCAACCCTGACTAATTTGGACCTCCAAGGACGTCTAATTAGGTACCGCAAATCTAGACCAGATTTGTTCCTTTTTGAACGTCCTAGGACGTCAAATGCCCACTGGGTAAGCATCGTATCCAGGGTTGAACATTAGAACTTTCAATTAAGTTGTTTTTTGGAACACCCTATGCTAGGGTGTCCCGTTTCAGGAGTTGATTGATTTTTAAGCAAGTGTGCATTCAGAACTACTGGTGTAGCCCAAAAAGATCAATTTACTAACTATTTTAAATCATAGAAGCTACTTATGATTTGATTGCTTTTTGCTTTGACATACGACTACCCGGACAGCAAGGATATAGAGGTCCCAGACTGGTCCTGTATAGGCTGCCGCGCTGGACCGGCTTCGGCTGCCAACGCTGGCGAAGCTCCGTAACAACATGTATACAAAATGGTCACAACTTATAAACAACATGGCTATCATGTTACAATAACAATTATTTTTATTATTGACGAAAACAACAAACCATAGTTTAATTCATTAACAACAAACCATAGTAACAAATCATAAATAAAATCTACATGACCGGAGCTAAAAGAAGACAATATTTGCCTAATCACTACACCCCGACGTGCTTTCATCAGCAAGCGTGTATAACCATTAAAATGTAAACATAAAACAAAAAACTACTTTGTACTATTTAAAAAATATATACAAATATATACAATTATGTAAGATCAGTAATGAATTAAATTCTTTTTAAAATTCTTTTATCTTCTTTTTGCTCTTAATTAAGAGCACAAAGGGAATATGTCCAACATTAAACATTAGGTAAACATTAAACAAATTAGGTATTAAAGTATCTAAAAGAAATGAAAATAAAAAAGTAAAAAACAAGACAGAATTAATTGAGGAATGCATTTGGTTAAAAATCATGACAATAAATATCATGAATTATTGTGTTTTCAAACTTTCAAATTCAGATTTCTCAAAACAATGGTTAGTGGACGTATTCCCTTTGTGCTCTTAACCATCGAAGTAATAATTTATGATTCCTTAATTTATTTTCAATTAAAAAGGGATTAAGTTTTAAAAAAGCAAAGTTTTAAAAAAGCAAAAGTGTGTAATAAATTTTTAGTATATTGGTTAACTGTTTTTATTAACATATCAAATAATTGTTAATATATAAAATTTATAAAAAAAAAAAAGTTAAAAAAAAATTTTAAACCAGTTTTAGATATATTTTTTGGTAAAAATTGGACTTTTTTTTTAATTTTTTTTGAAAAGACAACAAGGAAAAATTTGTGCTCTATTTTGCCTTTATCTCTTATACATATTTTGAAGGCTATATGTATATGTTTTTATAAAATTATTAATTTAGCTGCTAGTATCTGCTACTTTTTTTAATACTTATAATACTTTTTAATACTTATACTTTATAAAATCAAAGATGTTTCTTTTTCAAGTTTCTTTTGTCGCAAAATAACAAGTATATATATATATATATATATATATATATATAATATATATATATATATATATATATATATATATATATATATATATATATATATATATATATATATATATATATATATATATATATATATATATATATATATATATATATATATATATATATATATGTGTTAATACAACTTTTTAATGTTTATATTATTTTAGTCTAATAATATTATTATTAGTAATATGTCAACCATCACAAGATATCAAATTCATCAATTCATAAGACAGCATGGTTTATCTATGTCTAATGAAAAAGACAAACTTTATGTTTACAATTTTATTCGTGAATACTGTTCTGAATTTGATGCTCAGTTTGTAACCTTTTTGTCCAAGTATCGTAAACGTTGGTCTTTAAGTAAAAGAATTGATGAAAACTTTATGAAACATAATTCAGTATGGCTTCAAAAAGACTTTATTAAGTCATTTAAAAATCAGGATAATAAAACTGAATCTATAGTTAGTGGTCGACCTGTAAAATTATTTGATGATTCATCAAATAAGACAAAGAGTCGTAAAGTAGCAGCTATGGACTTATTAACTTGTTCATCAAATGAACTGTTGTATGCTAGTAGTTGTAATCTTTTTAAAGATAGCAGAAGAAAGGATGCAAAAGTAGTTCGAAGTTTATCTTTTAAGCAACCTTTTGATACAGAACATACTCAAAACACTCTAAATGAAGCTCTAGCACTCATATTAGATATTGATATGAGCAAATCTGATTACCAACGCTTGAGAAATAATGCTTTGAGCAAAGGTTGTAATCTCTATCCTGCTTACAATGATGTTCGTGCTGCTAAAGAACAGTGTCTTCCTGAAAAAACATTATGGACTGTAAATGATTTTTCAGCAGAAATAAACTTTCAAGCATTAGTCGATCATACAGCAATACGCCTAATACAGTTGCAGAAACAAGTTATTGATTCAATGAATGATCTTGAAAGGTTGACTTTATATTCTAAAGTTGGGTTTGATGGATCAACTAGCCAAAGGATTTATAATCAAGTAACAGTTGAGAAAGAAAACAGAGATCTTTTAGAAGAAGCTAGTTTGTTTATTTCTTGTTTTGTTCCACTTCAGTTGTTTGGATTCATTAATGATAAAAAAATAATAATTTGGTCTAATCCACATCCATCTTCAACTTTATATTGCAGACCAATAAGATTTTCATTTAAAAAAGAAACCATTGAAGTTTTGAAACAAGAGAATCAGTTTATTAACAATTCAATTGCAAATTTGTCTTTAACATTTTGTGAAAACTTAACATACTTCATAAAATTGAAATAACGATGGTGGACGGCAAAGTTGCTACAGCATTATCTACAGCAACTACATCTTCTCTGTGTTGTTCTGTTTGTGGATGCAGCCCAAAAAAAATGAATGATCTTAATGCAGCTAAAAATATGCCATTGACAGAGATAGGTCTCTGCTTCGGTCTTTCAACTCTCCATGCTTGGATTAAAAGCATGGAATGTCTTCTTAAAATTAGTTATAAATTGACAGTGAAAAAGTGGGCTACAAGAACTATATCTGAAAAGAAAATTATTCAAGAACGAAAACAGAAAATCCAGATAAGGTTTCGTGATGAAGTTGGACTGATAATTGATATGCCAACATCTGGTGGCTCTGGGTCTTCAAATAATGGAAACACTGCTAGAAAATTTTTTCAGAATGCAGAGAAGTCTGCTCAAATTCTTGAACTTGATGTCAGTATGATAAAGATGTTGCATGTGATTTTGTGTACATTGTCATCTAACTTTCTAATTGATTCTTCACTATTTAGAGAATACTGCTACAAAACAGCTGAGAAGTATGTAATCCTTTATCCATGGTATCATATGCCACAGAGTCTGCATCACATTCTTATTCATGGTTGGCAAGTTGTAGAGAGAATGGCTTTGCCTATTGGCATGCTCAGCGAAGAGGCACAAGAAGCTCAAAATAAAAATTTTAAGAAATTTCGAGAATCATTTTCTAGAAAGTGTTCGCGTTCCAAAACAAACGAAGATTTATTAAGGCGACTAATGTGTTCTTCTGACCCTTTGATAAGTAGTTTGAGAAAACCCCATCATCCTAAGAAAAACGCTCTTCCAAATGGAGTTTTTGATCTTCTTAAAGAGGTTCCAATTTTTGACTAAGTGTCAATGACATAGTTTTGATTTTCGTTGGTGTTTAAGATGGTGTTTACTTTATAAGTATTTAATATTTACATAATAAAATAATGAATATAAAAGTTTGTTTTCTTATATATTCGTTATAAATTTTTTGTATCTCTAATTGCATAAAAACTTGCTTATTTTTATATGGTTGCTAAGGGTATCTAAACTACACAGTTAAAATTTAATTAACTGTTCCTGTAAACCTTTATAGTTAAGAGTGTTTTAAAAGTTTTTATTTCATTTTTTAAAGAAATTTTGAATTAAGAAAAAGTTTCAAAAAAAATTACCAACTGGTTTCTAAGAGCACATAACAGCATAGTAACACCAAAAATTGATAATTTTTTGTTTGTGTTATCATTCAAATACATAAAATAGCAATGTAGCATTAATATCAGTTTACACGGTCGTTCAGACTTACTAAATAAGTGGAAAGTTATTATACGCAAGCGCAGTAAAGTTTGCATATTTTAAAAGTTTTAAAAAT